TCAACCTTTTGATTCCACGTGTCTCCATCTTTCCCAGTAGACTCGAGGGATTTGATTTCATTATTCCATTGGGAAAGAGAAACAGCAGTAATTCCCCTTCCCTGGTGCTTTGTCTGGTGGATTGAGAATTTCCCAGCCTCGCAAGCTTGCCCGTGTGAGCTGGGAATCCAGACTGTGTGTTTCACTCTGAGCTTTGGGCAGCTTAGCCTCTCTGGTTTTAAAATGAAAATGACTGTCACTTGAAGAAGAACTTCACATAGAATGCCTCAATTCATATCAACTCTCATTTTGTATGAAAATCTCAAGGTCTTTATAAAAGGGACAGTTCACCAGGACACACTGCTCTGTGTCAAGACTGCTAGTATTCACCTTTTAGTCAGCACTTTCCCCCACCATTCATAGTTTCTCAAGTCCTGAACTGCATGGCCATGCCATTTATTTTTTTAAGGGCATAAAAGAGTTGAAATTCTTGAGGATGAGTAAATAGAGTGGAATGAAGAAAGAAAGTCTGGCTTCCAGGAGTTCTAAGCAACTCCAGCAGGTTTAAGTTATGTTGGAACTACATAGAAGGGATTCTGAACCACCCAAGCCCTTGGAAGTTATTTCTTCCAGGGTAGTGGTTGGATTCTGTGAAGCCAAAAATCTCTGACCCACCCATGAAATGAAGGGACAATTTTAGAGTTGTTCCCTACATATTGGGTTCTGCTAATTTTTGTGTGTGCATGTTTTCTACTAAATATATTCTTCTTAAATTGTTATTTTTAATTGGAGGATAATTACAATATTGTGTTGATTTCTGCCATACATCTGCATGAATCAGCCATAGGTATACATATGTCTGACTCTTGCAATTCCAGGGACTGTAGCCCTCCAGGCCTCTCTCTCTATGGGATTTTCCAGGCAAGAATACTGGAGTGGGTTGCCATTTCCTTCTCCAGTACATCGGTCTGGATTCTGCTTATTTTAACAAATCTGTTTGGGTGTCTGAAAAAAACACTCCAGATTGTAGATGTACACAGACACACACACCAAAAATATTAAACTGAAATGGGAGATTACAGAAGGGAGAAATAAAACAGAAATTCAAGTCTGCAATTTCAGTAAAGAGGTTGTGGGTATGGAAAGTGTATAGCTTTTTTAAATTCATTAAACATGATTTAAAATTTTTTCCTATTTAATTCGTCTTTTTAATTTTATGTATTGATTATAAGAAATGATTCTTGTCTGACAACCATTACTTCATGTCAGCTTTCAGAAAAATCAAGGCATACAAAAACTAGTCAGTTCCCCTGTCTCTCCTTTTGGTCCTATGGGTCTTTACCTACATTAATAACTGTTCCTCTGGCGATTAATTTATTAATGTGCCCGAGAGGCTAGTTCCACGTCCATCTGTTAGGCACTGACTTCCAAGCTCGTCGTCCCGGGCCTCCATTCACCGAACAGCCTTATTTCCGTTTGTTCTATTGATTATCTTCGCCTTCTGGGTAAACCCCTCGCTCTGTTTGGTTGTTGTTGCTGTTGTTTGTTTCATTCCAAAGGCAGGAAGTCCTCTCTCCCCTCTGCGAAGTAAGAATATCAGTGCCCCCTATTTTTCCCCGCGGCTCTCCTCTGTCCGGCGAAAGGGGCTGTTTTGGTATAAATTTTCTCTGTGTGAGGTGAGGGGAGGGAGCAGGCGAAATAATGATGGTGATGCATGTGTTCTATGCAAAGGCATCTGTGTTCACAGCATTTCAATCAATCCCAGACAGTCAGGACTGCTTCCCACCGTGGTAGTGATTTTAGATCCAGTCCCTTCTTCCTCCCTGTAAGAAGAAGTTGTGTCGCTGAAGTTTTGCACAAAGAAAATAAAAATCATGTTCAGGGGGGAAGCCTGCGCTCGACAGTCAGTTTCCACGCCCACCCCCACCCTCCGCCACGCGCGGGCCCAGGTCCCGGGAGGCGGCGGCGAGTCCCTCCCGCGCGGTCGTCTCCGGGCGCAGAAGGCGTTGGAAGCCCAGGGCGTCGCGCTCCGGCTGCTCCTAATTCAGGGGGCATTTCAACCAGATCCTGAAGGGACTCAACCTAGAAGGTAAAAGCTCTCAGGTTTGGTGCGTGTCGAGGAGAGTACAGCCCCCCTGGTGACCCAGACAGAAAAACCGCAACGTCGTGCTCTCGTTTCGAGGGGTTTCGCTCGCTCCGGTGGCTCTGCGCCCTCGGGCGGGCTGCTCGGAGCCGGTGTGCGCGGCCCGGAGCGAATCGGCTTCAAGGGGTTTCCGTTCCGAATCTTTCAGGAGGGTCTCTGCCGCGCGGGGACCTCAGAGGTCCCAACGGGACATCCGGATCTGACCCTCCCCCGAGGAGGGGAGGGGATTGGGGTCCCGACCTGTGACTTTCTGCCGAGCGAGAAGGTAAACCCAGACTGTACACCGCGCCGCAGGGAGCGGGTGGCCGCGCTCGCGGTGTTCCGGCCCTGGTTCTCGGCCGCTCGGGTGCGGCCAGCGCCGGGAGCAGAGCTCTCGAAGGGTCAGGAGGTCTGTGCAGGAACGACTCCAGGGCCGGGAGGCGCCCTCAGCGTCCCTGGGCCGGCAGGGCCGCCGACTGCGCCTTGGGCTGCGACTGGGGCCGGGGTCGGGCCGGGGTCGAGCTGGGGGTGCGGGCATCTCCCCGTCTTGTTCCCGACTCCTTCCCTCCGGCCGGGCGAGGCGGCGTGTCCGGCGAGGGGTTGCGGGGCGCTGGGCCGAGCTGGAGGGCCGAGAGCAGCCCGAAGGCGGGGTAAGCCAGAGACAGCCGAGCCAGCCTCGGAGCGCGCGGTGCGCGAGAACCGCCGGCTGGGCCCCCTGGGGATGTGAAACTGAAGACAAGGCGGCAGCGAGCGGCGGGGAGCCGGTCGGGACCGCGGATTGACTTAGGGCGAGTCTCCACCTGGCGCCTTCGAGGAGCAGCGCCGGCAGCCCGCAGGACGCCCGGGTCCGCAGGACGCGGTGCTGCGCCGGACTCCTTCGGGGGGAACGCAGGAGGGAAAAAGGGGTGGGGGCGCCTGCGGGACTTGATGCGGTGGGGTGGAGGGGACGCTGGCTCCGGGAAGTCTGCGTGCATTTATCCCCGAGAACTCGCTCCTACCTGGAGCTTTACCAGCAGGAAAGCGGTGAACAGACAGGTGCAGAATCGTCTTGGGAGCAGGAGATGAAATCAGGTTCAAGACAAACTTCACCATCCCCAGGTGTAAATGGTAAAGAATATATTTTTGCGGTCTTCGAAATGATTCTAAAGGTGTCCTCTAATCAGGCAAGTTTCTGTAAAAAAAGAAAGCGAGTGCTTTTTAAAAAACCTTTTTTAAAAAGAGCTGATTTCTTCTTTATTTCTCAGGTATAAATTGGGAGATTTACGGCAGACAAAACTGCTGATCATTAATAAAGCTGGAAATGAATTATGGGAGCCTTTCGGAAAACGTGCAGAGCTTTTAGAATTTAGTGATATAGGCTGCTCATCTTGAGCTCTGGTTTTTTTTATGCTTAAGTTGGTGTTAGAAAGGCGGGAGCCATGGCCTCTGATTGTGAGGAGTTCAAGCTCTTTTTACTTTCGGTCTTTCCGACTTGGGGGAGAGTTGGCTATTTTTTTTTTTAAAGAAAAAAAAATGGCCAGGCTTTATTTTCATCTTACCAATGCAAAATCATTTGTGTTCTGCATAAATAGCTTCATTAAGAATTATAACTTTTCCTATTTGTTCGATAGTCATATAAGCAGAACATCAACGGAAAAACTAGTGGCCTCTACCTGTCCTGTAGGATTCTTCCCTCTTCCTGCCCCCACAAATGGGATGTATTCTCCCTATTATTCTGGAGCTTGCCTTTTCAGTTAAATATATATATTATATAAATACATATATAATATATGAACATATATATAAATCCATATATAATATATACATTGTTGCTGTTCAGTCACCCAGTCGTGTCTGACTCTTCCAAACCCAATGCACTGCAGAGTGCCAGGCTTCCCTGTCCCTCACCATCTCCCAAAGTTTGCCCAAGTTCATGTCCATTGCATCGGTGATGCTGTCCGGCCATCTCATCTTCTGATGCCCTCTTCTCCTTCTGCCTTAGTCTTTCCCAGCATCAGGGACTTTTCCAATGAGTCAGCTGTTCGCATCAGATGACCAAATACTGGAGTTTCAGCCTCAGCATCAGTCTTTCCAACGAGTATTCAGGGTGACTGTTTTGAACATATATGGTACATAAATACATATATAACATATAAATACATTTATAACATATAAATACATATAAACATATAATGCACAAACAAATGCATATGTAATGTATAGCAGCATATATACTATATGAAATGTATAAATACATATGCAATATAAAATACATATATAATATATAAATACACACACATGTGTGTCTGAGTGTGTACTTTGGCATTCCTATGTTCCTACAGGCTGAACCTCTGTTTACCAGGTTGGTGGGCTTCCCCACTCTCCGCTGGGGTCAGACCCACTTATCCCATCTCCGGTCCCACGTAAGTTTGTATACTAATCCCTTCATGCACAATTACAGTCCTAAGACTGTCTCCCACTCGTGCAAACACAGCCTGTGCACACGAACGTAGAGGCGCTGCATTTAAGCAATAGGGGACCCTGGGGGAACTCCTTTCGCCTAAGAGGGAGAGGCTGGAACTGTGCGGGTCCTAAGCGCAATCTTCGGGACCGGTCCTCTTGCTCTCGGGTCTCCGGAATGCTGGCAGCCGGGCGGTGGGTAGAAAACCCGACCGGCGGTCCTCGCTCCGGGTCACCGCTCCCCATCGGTCTGCCTCACGGGGGCCGGGGTCGGGCTCCGGGGGAGTGGGGCTTCGTGGGCACTTCTAGGACCCCAGTAACTCAGGACTGAGCGGCCACCCGAGTGACTCGTTCGGTCGCGGTGGGTGAAATCGGCCGCAGTACCCCTCGGGGGACCGAGTTCCGGTCTGACAGATGGCTAATATTAAGCTCCGCGACGTCTTCACTCGGATGGTGGAAGATGTGGAGCACACCTCTGTGGGCCACCCCTCTTGCGGGCCTCCCGCCGGAGGGACTCAGGCCGGCGCTGCGAGATCCGATCGGGAGCGACTCGGTCCCCAGGGAGGCGGGGTGGGTGGTGTGGTGGGCTTCCTGGAGGAGGTGGCGCTGCGCTGGGGCCTTGCTGAACGCACGAGACAACCGGACCAACTGCCCCCGCCCCTGCCAGGGCCTGGGCGCGCCCCCGCTCTACGGATCCCCTCTGCCCACGCTCAACAAGACCCCCCTGGACCGCGTGGAGCCAGACCCGACCTTCTTCGCCTTGCCGATGCCCAGACACTGTGGGCCGTTGGGTCCCTGCCCTCCCGGCTGGGCCTGGAGACCCCCAGCACACGGAACTCACCCCCAACCCCTCCGCCAAGGCGCCACCAGGGGACCGCGCGGTCCCCCACCTGCTTGCTCGCCTTCGCGATGCTGGCTTAGACCCGGCGGCGCTCTGTCCTCGGAGGTCGGCTGAATTACAACCACCGGCCTATGAAACTTTGCTGTTTGTCCACGAATGAAGGTAATAATAAAAACGTTTAACTGTTACCATCTCAAAGGAGGCGATGCAAAGTGTCCATGGCTTCAGTGAAAAATTGATGAACCGCGGTAGAAAGCACTTTTTTCCCCCTGGAAAGCTCTCTTACCCCAGTTGGTTTTAAACTTTTAACACTGACTGTGTATCTTTTGCATTTCAAGCCACTGTTTCTAGACTTCTTGGTTATGGACACTGTAAATTTGTAAATAAAGCTTTCCAAAAGTATCTGCATATGGAGATTTTATATTCTTTGGTAAAATTATTTAATAAGTTGTGTCTGTGTCAGTTGGGGTCTTAATTAAAATGGTGAAAGAAGGAAGATTAAGGGGCAAAGAGAGTGTTTATATAGGGGGCTCTACGGAGGGACCATTGGCTTCGTAAGCCAGGCGGTGCCTCAGAGCGTCACCCATCACTGGTGGGTGGAAGAAGGGAGAGCCGTTGCTGGAGCCCAGGGTAGTGGTAGGCTTAGGGATCCCGCTAGCCAGGCAGGACCTCTGGCTGGGGGATGAGGAGTGAAGCTGTGTCAGTCAGAACCCAGCAGGATGGGGCCAGAAAATAGACCCTGGAAGAAACTCCTGTCACTCTCCTGACTTTCTGAGACTGCTCCTCCTTGGCCAGACCTACCTACAGACCTAGAGGACAGGGGCATGGATGCTGCCCCAGGGAGGGGGTGGGGACCGTGTCTCCTGTGGTAGAAAAAGTCCAGGCTTTCCCGGAATCAGCTAGCTCCATGGGAGGGAGCTCAGCACAAGACTCCAGACCAAAGTAGCTGCCGGGCTCTGTGTGTGACCTGTAAGGGATACCAGGAGGGACCCTCAGCTAGCCGCTGCTCTTCTCAACCTCGGGATCCCTGCGTGGAGCAGGGGTGAAGCCATTGCTGCAGAGGTAGGCTGGGCCACAACAGAACCTGCCTTTCCAGGGGACAGTACTGAGCCGGCAAGTCCAGGCTCCCGGGAGGAAGGAGGGCCAGACTTCTGAAGTCTTCAGGTGTGCCTGTACGGTTTAAAAGCCTCAGTGTTGGTGTTCTTCTTGCTTAAAAGACAGGGATTCCTAACAGATGCCCAGGGAGCAAGCAGGCTGTAGACATGATGGCAAACTCCTCCAGTCGTCAGATGTGGGGGTCCTGGGGCAGCAGCATTTGCCCCGCCAGAGAGGTGGTTAGTAATGCCAAGTTCCAGGCCAGGGCAGCATTTCTGTGTCCAATCCTGAGTTACAACAGTGCTTTTTGACTCAGATTGTGTCTTGTTCTTCAGTCGCTGAGTTCTGTCCGACTCTGCAACCCCATGGACTGCAGCACACCAGGCTTCCCTGTCCTTCGCTATCAGAGTGTGTCTGCCTCTTGCTCAATACAATGCAATTCTGACTGAGTAGGGCCGAGATGCTGCATTTCTAACAAATTCCCAGACAAGGGTGACACCCCACTCTTGCAGTGTCAGACCCTAGGTCCCTTAGCCACACTGACTTCTTAGGGACCATCCGTGACCTAACACATGCCGTGTTCAGGAACAAACACAGAGTCATTTTAGAAGAGCCACTGGACAGTTCTGGGTCATTTTTGCCCACTGGCCACGTGTGCCCTGCTCTTCCCCGCTCTGCGCCCCTCTCAAAGCCCGCCCTTCCACCTCGCCATGGAGATCTCATTTTCCTCCAAAGTCCTGTGAATGCTCGAACTAGAACTACAGCTGTGACAGCCGTGGGAAGCCATCATGCTCGCTGAGAGTATCATGTACTGTGCAGCTTGCTTTGTTAATCACTGGCTTATGGAAAGTAGAGGGACTCAGAAGATTTAGAAGGCTCTGTATTCTCAGATTTTGTGCTACCAGAAATGCCTGGCTGTAACCTAGGAAGAAACAAGCAAATAAGAAATAGATTGGTGAAGTGTTCAACAATAGCTAACTTGGGGTGAGACCGATGGAAATGCCCAGTGGGTGTGGACGTGACACCACCAGTACTGCTCACACCAGCGTGCACCAGCTCACACTGGGCGTGCACCAGCTCATATTGGTCAGGTCCCCTCTTTATCGCTGCCCTGGTGCAACCTTGCTGGTGGTGTCACATCCACACCCACTGGGCATTTCCATTGGTCTCACCCTAAGTTAGCTATTGTTGGACACTTCACCAATCTATTTCTTATTTGCTTGTTTCTTCCTAGGTTACAGCCAGGCATTTCCGGTAGTATAGCATCTGAGAATTCAGTGCCTTCTAAATCTTCTGAGTCCCTCTACCTATCATAAGCCAGTGATTATGAAAGCAAGCTGCACAGTACATTCAGCCTTTGAGAAAGATCTCCCTCTAAGAGATTCTGACCAAATGGTTTGGCCTAAAAATCCCCACTGAATAAAACATAACTCTCAACTTTGAGGCTGTGACTATTTTTTAAGTCGACAGCTTGTTTCATACTAGGTTACAGCCAGGCATTTCCGGTAGCACAACATCTGAGAATTTAGTACCTTCTAAATCTTCTGAGTGATTATTAAAGCAAGCTGCACAGCATGATCTGTTCTTTAGAAAGAAGACTGAGACTCGATCTCCTTCCAAGAGATTTTGACCAAATGGCTTTGGCGGGCCCATGGACAGAGAAGCCTGGTAAGCTACAGTCCATAGGGTCGCACAGAGTCAGACATGACTGAAGTGACTCAGCGCGTGCACATACACACCATCAGGGTGTTTCAAAATTTAAAATCTCTTGAGGTGATTGTGATCGTGGCTATTAAAAAGAGGAAAATATTGATATCAGAACTACCCAAGAAGTCAGCTGTTTGTCTATTTATTTTATCAAATGTTTATTGAGCATCTATTAAATGCGAGGCACTATATTGAGAACACATTCTGTGTTCTCAAGGAACATAAGGTTTTTTACATGCAGGAAAGGCATGTAGACAAACAATGGTTAATGGTGGTCAGGGAAGTAAAGAATTGTTCCGGCAGAAAGCAGAATGATGGATTCTGAGTGAAGGGGCCTGGATTAAAAATAATAATAACTGACCTGGACTTCCCTGGTGGCTCAGATGGTAAAGAATCTGCCTGCAATGCAGGACACCTTGGTTTAATCCCTGGGTCAGGAAGATCCCCTGGAGAAGGGAATGGCAACCCACTCTGGTACTCTTGCCTGGAGAATTCCATGGACAGAGGAGCCTGGTGGGCTACAGTCCATGGGGTTGCAGAGAGTTACGACTGAGCAAGAGTCAAACATGACTGAAGATCTTTCTTTCTGTTCTGAGCACTTCCTCTGGGTGGGGAGGCCCCAGGGAAGCACTGTTGCTCACCTGAGGCCTTGAAGCTGAACAGAGTTAAGTGGGGAAGGGAAGTGGGGGTGGTGGCTGGGAGGACGGTGAGAGGTGAGGAAACTAGGGGAGGTTACTCCTGTTTTCTTCGTAAAATCAGGGTGGAGTCTGTCAGCTCCAGGTGGAGAACCTCCGTGTACTACAAAGGCCCAGAGCAGACAGTTTCCCAGACTGACTTCCCTCTTCAGGGCAATCCAGATTAGCATCTAAGAAGTGGGACTGGAGGAGGCTTTTGAAGCTGGGGTTTTAGAGTCGCTGCCTTGCGATCAGAATCACCTCAAGAGATTTTAAAATTTGAAACATTCTGACGGCAGGCTAAAGCAATTTGATCAGAATCTCCTAGGGGGAGGTTGAGCCTCAGCCTTCTTTCTAAAGGATAGATCGCACTGTGCAGCTTGCTTTGATAATCACTGGTTTATGGATAATCCCTCAGAAGATTTAGAAGGTACAAGAGGGTCAGGGAATGTTGGTCAGATTTCAGCTCAAGGGTTTAATGGAGTTGGGTATGGAGGGAACGAGGTCTGGAGAGAGCTGTTAGGCTGCAGGCAGGAAAAAAGGAAAGAAATTTTTTTTAAAGGGGGAAAAAAAAGAAACCGAGGGAGAAGCCAGATTGCTAAGAGAATGCATCAGAGGGGACTTCCAAGATGACCCGGGTCAGGGTGCTGATAGTGAGCCAGGTGGGGCTGGGGTGGGGCTCCTGGGTGTGGGGGAGGTGAAGGGTGCAGGGCCATGCAGCCAGGGGACGTGGACCCCGCGTGGTCCCTGGAGCCCCGCAGGGACAGTAGAGGAGCGGGACCGTAATTCTCTCCGTGCAGATTTCAAGAACCTCCTGCCAGGGGGAGTGGATTTAATCAAGTCATCCAGGATAAGAGGAGGGAAGTTAGAACAGAAGGCCAGGAGCTGGCCATTGAAATGCAAAATGGAGCGATGGTGAAACAGGAAAATCCACTCTTACTGGACCACAGGGAGGAAGAAGTAGCAGAAACTCTTAGTGATAAAAGGAAGTTTTCCACATCTCTCTGGAAACCAGGAGATGGAGGTTTTTAACTCAGGGGCAAAAGATCTAGAGTTGGGACGTATTGCTGAAAGATATGCTGCTGACAGCAGTGGCAGCCCAAGGCTAAGCAAGCCCACATCTTTTATCAACCTTTGTAATCAGCGGTGGGGTTTGCAGATAAGTGTGATTAGCAATGCCCTGCTTCTAAGAATTTCCTGTTTGAAATAATTGTTCTTGATCACTAAGGTGCTAAACTTGAAAAATCATTATTAACAAAACCATTTTTTTTCCCTTCCAACCAGCTCAATACTGATTCCTGAGCCAAAGCCTTAGGCTTTGGTTAGCATTCTGCTCAGCCCGGATGGCCTGACTTCCCACACTTGGCCTCCAGGGAGACCCTCTCATTCCTAATATTGAGCAACCGTGACCAGGCTCCCTGACTGTCCGACAGGCACAGGGACAATGCCCTGGTCAAGACGGGCCCTGCTGCCCTGAGGCCTGACTGCAAGCACAGAAGCTGGTGGCTTCTACAGAGTTGCCCAGGAGGGAGGAGAGCACGCAGGCACACGGAACCCTGGGTTTTCTCCAAAAAGGCCGCTCCGGAGACCCTAAGAGGCGTTCCCCTAGGGGGAGAGACAGCCGCCCAAGGACCTTCA